TCGGAAACGTAAAGGAAATCGTTTGTAAATATTACAGTCCGAGCAACTTTAATTATATGTTTGTTGTACATACGTAAACAACTACAACCAAATAAGATACTTACAACACATGGGATAAATCAATGTGTCTTATAACTAGCCGATTTTTCCGTATGATTCATTGGCATTCAATTAATAATCACTAACTAGGTGGCGATAATTTAAAAATATAAAAAAATTTGTAGATTATAAAATAACGACCATAATATACGATGGATTATGAAACGTTTATTGCTATTTTACAATCCAATCATAACAACAAACGTAATGTCTATGTATTTTATAGGGTTATAAACCTTTTATATAATACGAGATGTATTTCAGTTAGTGTCTTCAGATAAATGTTACCAAACTGTGCAACTTTTCGTAGTTTGGTTAATCATCAGCTATATTTTATACGATCAAAACTTCATTTAAATTTATTTAAAACATTTTCGTTTTATATTAATTTTGATGTACGTCGTATAAATATATATTTCAAATAATTGTTTTATAGTATAATGCCGTTTATTTATAAGTGAGCTGGCCATAAAAAATAAAATTAAAATTTATAATAATCATAAACATGTATACGAGCACTTCTAATGTCTATAATATCGAATGTATCGAAAACGTCATACGGAAATTGTCGGCGGTCGTCTAAGGATTGAGAAATCAATCATTTTGAGTTGACACTGTGGACAGTATTGGAAAAAAACTCATAAAACTCAGCCTTGCACAACTGTAATTATGAGTGCTGCAACATCCAACACCTACTGTTCTGGTACACAACCACGTTACATTAATAACTAATAGACATATTAACTTTCCAACTTCTATTCCAGCTAGGGAATCAATTTCACCAGAATCTGACTATTTTAAACTTAAAAAACATCACTCGATGTATGCATAACTGTTCATCTATTTATATAATAAACAATGAGTTCATTATGGTAATTTATATACAAATATGAAAAAATGCTGCTAATATCATGACGCGTACAGTCAGTTTATTTTTTTACATTTTCCAGATGGAACTTTGAAGAAAAATCTTGAATACATTGTGGTTGAAAAACTTAAAATTTTTTCTAGTCAACTAAATTATGATTAGATGAACAAAATTCAAAATATACATTTACTAAACATGTTGATATTTCATATTCCATATAATGCATATAATTAATCGTAATTAGTTTGAAAGTTTTATAGAATGGTGCCAAAAAATGTAACGTAAATTAAATGTTTATCATAGAAAAAACTTAAGTTAAAAAAATGATTATACTTATCAAATTGTCATAGTAATCGTTCTCAGATATCTGATTGTTATGAAATATAACAATCAGATATCTGATTGTTATGAAATATAACTCTTAGCGTCTTAGTGTTGTAATTATACAATCAGTATTAAAATTATTTTCAAAAACGCATGTAGTAAATTTTATTAATTAATTAAATCACAATAAAAAATATCTTTTTCATGTTTGACGTTAAATTATTAAACTAAGGTTATATGTATTTTTTCAATAAAACATAATTTTCACGAATAAATATTATATAAATTCAAATGTATAGAATAACAATATATCAATTATGGTCTTCATGTGTCTTTATAATATAGGTATTTCAATTTTCAAAAATGTTGATAAATTATCATCACTTATTAATATAAATTACAACTTATTATTTGTTATATTTTAAATCACAAAAACGATTTTTGCGAAATGCCAATAAAATTTTTTATGTGATACTTTATTATTATAGTATTTATAAATCGTATTAACATTTATTTTGTTTTTTACTTAATTTAATTATAAAAATAATTATTTAATGCTGGTGTCAAATACACAGAGTCCTGTGAATTAATTTCCAGATTTAGCAGCATAATACGCCATTTTTTCCCTATTATTCCATGATTAATTAAAATTATGAAAATGTTCAATAAATAATCTCGTTACGTGAAATTCTAAAATTATTGTACAACAATAATAATTGTGACGAGGGATAGTGCTCATCCAATTGTGTACAACCACAATTAGTGACGTTTTATTTCCATGCGATGTTCCAATATAATTGATTCATTCTGCCTTCTCGTTTAATAAAAATCCACAGTGACAAATACAAGTATCACACGTCAACTGATTTCTCTTAGACCATAATATTATGACTAATGCACGCATGGTTGTATTGTAGTACGCAGTTTATACAATAGTGTTCAATAATAGAAACTACAGAGAAAAATTTTAGAAATATCTGTGAATTAGTTATTCAATATTGTTAACCAATTATGTATAATGGTTAAAACATATTTTCTTGCAGTACATTCGTTTGCGAAACACATAAAAGCACATAAATAAAGAATACCCGCAGGCCATACCGTATAGTTTTATTTCCGCAGAGTTTTCACATTGTTCGTGTTCCGACTCTTACGTACGATTACGATTTAATTAGAATAAAACAGTTGAAGAGCGACTTCCCGTTCTCTTTGAAGATACTCGAGTCGGTTTGATACAATAGCGAGTTGATTATACATATAATATAATATAGGAATACAATCAATTATTATAAACAAGTCGTAAATTGTATGATGTTCACAACAAATTATAAAATTTATAGAAAATGCATAGCGAAATGGGAGTAAATACTTCTCAGTGTCCAACTGAATAAAACATTTTTTAAATCCATACTATTCGATTGCAATCCATAGAATATCGTAAGATTGTATAGAAAAAATGTATATTATTTTTTATTAAGAAGAATCTCTAGAGATTAAATAATAATAATTATATAAAATTGTGATGAATTCTGAAAAAGTCTATTTTATGTTTTAAAATTTTTTTTAGTTGTTGAAGTATAATTTATATTATAATTAATATGGAAATTTATGCGTAAATAATCTAGTCTAATAAATATTCAAATTTCCAAAATGATAATTATAAATTGGGGAAAATTTTATATACATAAAACTATCAAAATTCTGAATTTTGTTCGAAATGGTAAATTACTCAATTAATTTTAAAAATTAACTGCACCTTAACTATAAAATAATATAATTAATTATGGTTCTATTGACCTTATACACATAATTTATATTATATGATCAAAATCGAATACAAAAGATTATTTTTATTAATTATGGCTCAAAAAAATGATCAAAAAAAAAAAAAAACAAACATGAATTTAAACTTCGAAGGTAATTGTTCAAAAAATATTTTATCGAAATCACATTGACCTCAATATAATATAATATATTAAATATTAAAAATTCAAATAACTAAGGTATATCTAATCGTTTGTAAGTGTAAATTAAATAATCCTACTAGCAAAAAATAATTATATACCCATGTCCTTTAGAATTTACCTATTCAGGTTAATATCCTTGAATAGCATATAATTTAAAAGATTTTTGTTTGTTAAAACAGAAAACAAACAATTTTAATAAATAAATGTTATACGTCAAGATTTGTGACTTTTTAATAATATTTGAAATTTTTTAAACATTTGAATAATATGTATATCATTATAATGGGTACTATGTAAGGCAATATATGTTATATTATTTAAATTATAATAATTAACAATTTTAATAATAATATTAAATTATACTTACATAGTATTTATATAATTTTATTATTATAATTTATATAATATTTTTATTACATTATGTTAATATGTTAATATTAAGTGTAATAGGTATATTAACATATTATAATAGGAACTATGTATGGTATAAATTATAGTTTTATTAATCCAATTAAATATGATCACTCTAGTTGAAAGGAGAAAACTGATTGATTAAACGTTTCTATATAAAATTGTAAATGGTTTAAACTTTCTTGAATTACTCAGTTACTTAACCTTTAATGTTCTTCATTGTCTTACTAGATCTAAAAATACATTTTATATTCAATTTCAAAAAATAAATTATGCAATTGTCTTGCCTTTAAATGTATTAAAATGAAATTAGTTAATGACGTCCAGGTTGATTTATTTCATTTTCATATTTTTGATTCTTTTTGTAATAATATTACTTATTTACATAGATACATTTATTCTTTTTTTTACCATGCACATATATTTTTTTTAATCTTTTTTTATTTATTTTTTTTTATTTAGCTTTTACGAGCCATTTAGGCTCTTTGCTTCTAACACCAATTTTCCCCTAACATCTCTTGCGTATTTTTTTTACCTTTACTGTCCAAAATTAACTTTATATTCTAATTGTTTTATGTTTATTTTTTATTTTTATTCAGTCAAATAGATTTAAGTTGCAAGTTTAAAAACTATCATATACAACTTGTAATTGGGCTCGTCCCATTTGTATAAATAAAATTAAAAAATAAAATGTTAATGCTTAACAAAACATCTAAGAAGTTTTGTTTTTCTTAAAATAAAGCTCAAAACTAAAATTAATTCAAATAAAAACGAATAAAATTCAAATTAAAACAAAATTATCGTAATGATTCTATACAACAGTTATTTCTATTAAAATGTCGATCGGTTTACTGCACTGAATTTTTTTTGGATATTGTAACATAAATATTTTTATTTTTGCGATAAGCTTTATATTATAAATACGAAGAAAAAAAAGTTAAATAGCCATTTTTTTTAATTCAAAACTCATAATATTCCTATCCAACTACCTTGCATACGACCTACCACAAATAACTACTATTATCCAATTAAATTAACGATCCACGTGGTAAGAGGACGGTAGGTAATAAACTATTAAAATTGTTCTTGCAAGTTCACAGACGGTAAAAAACGAACGTGACTCTTTGGTATGCTTTCGTAAGAGATCATTTTATTATTATATCATGTATTCATCATTTTAGGCGATTATACCTACCACCTGGAGACGCCTTGTTTTCCGTCACCGCCACCGCGATCGCTTAGACATACAATTACTCGTAACCAGGAGCCCCACCGCAGACATTCGACTTTACGGTTTGTGACTTTCGGATATAAAAACGTTGGACGCCAGCTAGGTTTTCATTCTGATGTACGCCGGTGATTTCGGTGACTGCAAGGATCCTGCGATATTATTATTTGCTGCGAACGGTGTGGACCATATTTCGAGTTAACTGTATTTTCAACAAACATCCGACGCCTGTCGATTGTATTATTATACTCTCAACATGAATACTTTATCAATCGCAGTAAGTAAACAACAATATAAACATTTATTACGTGGATCTGCGAGTTTACCATATTCTTACTCTCGGAACAAAAATTTTTTATCGATAAAACATATACATTTTTAAATAAATTTGAGTAGTGTAATTATTTTAAAGAGTATATAAACAAATTTTACAAATTATCGACAACTTGTATTGATTTTATTAATGGATACCGGTTTTTTTTTTTAAATTAAATAATTACTTCATCCGATAAAGATTAAAATATTTTTATTTATAAACACTCAAATTCAATAAGAGTTATTTTTAAATATCTAGACTTTCTCAATTCTAAGTTTCTGAATTTTTCATACGTATACTGTTTATTAATTGAAATCGAAATATTTTATTAAACCATACTCATTCTGAAAATATTTAAGAATATCCACCATTAAAATTATTTTACGTATTAAAAACGATACAAAAAATAGTATAAAAAATATAATGACTATCGTGCATGTCTTATAATGTTTACCCATTCAAGTTTGAATAAAACTGATATTCATGATAAATATCATGGATTTCAATTACTTTTTGGATAATTCGGACTAACTCACATACACATTAAATTTTTAATTGTAGAGTAATTTAATTTGTACGATAACAATACTTTATGATTTCCATTAAAATCATGTGCTTGTCTAATTTCACTAGTCTAATTTGCCATTCAAATATTTTCCTAGCTGTTTTCATCATTTTTATAGCCATTATACGAGTAATAATAATTATTTATAATCTTTTACAAATATTTTATTTATTGTTTTTAAGATAATGTTATGAAATAAATTCATAATTTCAAAAATAATAATTTTTACGAACAGGATTAAAAAATGTCAATTCTTTGAAACTATCTTGAAAACGTTACGAAAAAACTAATGATACAATTTCGACCTACTTCAAAATATATATCTAGCCGAAACTTATTATCTAATCGACCATTGAATATAAGATTTCTTAAGAGTTTCAAAATAAGCTAAAATATATACACAACATAATAATAGCTTCTTTTCATTTGTACATTTGTAATGAAAATGTCATACATAATGTTTACATGTATAAAAAACGTCAAAAACATCAAAGTTAAAAATTAGTTATACCATAAATAAATTCGATCTATTATTACAATATTGAATACTAATCTAAAATATCAATATTATTTTCAAAACACACTTCACAATTCACAATTCTAAAACACACGTATCATTCAAAATATGTTGTATTCTGTAAAATTAAGATGTAATAGTCTTACCGATGATATTTTCGAAATTATCCCGAGTACCAAATAGGTACAATAAAATCAAACGTTTTATACCATTCTACTTATTCTAACATAATATTCATTATACAATTTACTCAGTCGCTGTAATCATTGATTGCATAGATTTAATAAATTTCAATTTAAATATTTAAATAAAAAAGTAATTATAGTTTTGTTCAGAACAATTGGTCTCGCTTCGTTAGAATTTTGTCAGAATAGTATAATTTCAATGTCGGTAATTCGTCTTGCTTCAATTGTCCCGATAAGGATTTAGTCTCGCGGGAAATGCATTTTTTTTCAGTAGCCGATCATTTGGCCACGATTATCTTATATGTAGCATTTTTCCAATCTAAAAGTAATTAATAATCGTTGCATTCTAAAAATGATTCAGAGCGAAACACAGCGTGTGCGTTATGGGGTGTCAAAAGTAAATTCAGGGTTTTCCAATTTTTGAACAGATCATCGAGCAAAACTCGTGAAACCAAGGAGCTGAAATGATTCGCGCGTTTACAAAAATAAAATCAAATCTTCTGTCCATTGGATATGGTCGCAAGAGTACACATATTGATATTCCCGGGACGACTAATCCACCGAGAGCGAACGAATACGTTGAACACAATAATAATATAATATCGAATTAACGAACTCAATAAATACGCATAAGCGTATCTAGTGAGAGGATTGGATGGGCTTAGCTTCTTCGGTACGAATATCTAAGATCGCCTTAGAATTATTTGCTATTTATTTCGTTCAAGTAAATTGTTCTTGTTGTGTTGAACTCGTGGCGAATAGCAATAATACATAAATACGTAAATATAATGTACATATAAATCGGTTTTGTTATTATTTACAATTATTATTATTTTTAAATTCAAGAATGTTATTAACATTAATCGTGTAAAGAGGGGGTGGGAGGGTTAAGCTTACGTACACGTATATGTATAGTGGGCTTCAGCTCTCCAAACATATTTGATCACCCTGCACGCCAATGCAAATATGATTACAAACATCAACATCAGATTTTCGTACGAGAAACGGTAACGTTCGTCAATAATACACTTTCTCGGACCGTTAAAAACGTGAAATCGCGGTAGGTACACCCGATTCGGCTGATGGAAATCATTGCAGATTTACATACGATATTGTCCGACTCGCACGATGTCTTAACCAAAAGTTGTTTCGAACATTGCACTACGTTTCATGCAATAACAATAACAATACGTTATATCCGCGCGAGTAATTCACGCGGTAGAACGGCTGTGTTTACGAGTACATCTGTGTGCGCGTGTGTGTGTTACCGTTTACGCCCATCGGGCACACATACACACACCGATACTCGATAATCGTCCGATCGGCAAATCACGACCGCGATCACAAACGTACATATCTTCCGTCACGACGTCACCGCACCGATGTAATGAGATTTTGTTACGTTACGCTGTACTTCCGGACCGCGTGCAGTTACCGAGTTCACCCTCGTCCGACGGTAGGCACGCGCATAAACCAGAGGCGGTCGGAGAACGTTCACTTCTTACCCGGAGCAGATCGAATAACATCTACCGCCGAACAATTCATTCTCGGCCCGTTCGATTTACCTCATAACTCGGCTGTTTTTGAACGTTTAACACGGTTTTATTTATTACTATAAACATATGCCGTTCGTGTGGGTTTAATTTTGTACCGAGTTGTGTAATGTGTTTGACCGAGAATCGCCTGCGTTTAAGCGATTAGTTTTTGTCATTCCGATTTCTCTATTTTTTTTTTTCTTCTCTCTCCGTTTACCGGGACACGGACCGCCACGGTAGAAGTTTCTGACTTAGTGGTCGCTAAGGGAAAGCGACGGGTCGGCTCCAGAGACCACGTCGGCCGGTCCGTGGTACTTCTCGCGGATCGCATCCCGAATCCGGCAGTTTAACGCGTTCACGTGCGACGTGCCCACCCGTCGCGGCGGTACGTGGTCTGGCGTGTCCCGCGCTCCCGGAAACGAACGGTTTCGTCCGGTTTGCCCGAATGCTGGAAACCTTTCACCACCGCGCGCGCGTGACCCCGACGTGACCGCGCCGACCGGTAAAGTCCGCGCGCTGCTCTTCCTCAAACTAGTTCCTCTGCGCAAACTCTCTCACGCCCACGCGCGCGTGCCTACCCATCCGTTCGCGTCACCGGATGCGAAGAAACATAGACTGGCGACGTAACAAGTCTGGGTGTACACGACCATAATGTTTTTCTTGTGTTTTTCAGGTATGCTGCTTGCTCGCGGTCGCCGGCACGTACGCAACTTTCGGCAAGGAACAGTAAGCATAATATTGTAGTATAATTATAGTTGTATATTATATAATTTAGCCATGCGATTCGTACGGAATAAGCGAATGAAAAACATCCAAACCTGTACATTGCAATTCGCCTTGATCCCTTCAATGACTATAACATGTTTCACTGAATTGCAGTATTAACTTAGAAATTAAAAACAAATGATTCATTCTAAATTAAAAATAGTCCCACTCTTTTTTACATAGTATTAATATTTTTCAATATTATGATCCGTAAACCAATGTGGAAATCCAAGCGAAATTATTTTAATACATATGATCGAGAATGAAATTGTTTCTTACATAGTTACACTGTATAAACATTTATAAACAGGGCTAGAATTTGTATGTAATAAAAAATTGTAAAATAAGTATTTTAATTTTTATGAGGTACACGCAAAAATATAGTTACAAAAAAAAAATTATTTATTGAAAAACATCAGTGATTGGCTGATTGTCTTAATATAATATAATTGAGATTAAAAATTAAAAATTATTTATTTATTCTTTGCATACATATTTATTATTATTTTAGAAATAAAATGTAAAACTTATATTCAATAGCAGAAATACATGTGTTATATGGCCACATATTTTTTTAAATTGTCGAATATGTACCAAATATGACTGTATTTATAAAAATAAAATTTATGTTTGACAAAAAACCAAATTAGGTATATACTTTGATCAGTTTAATTATTACGGGCTCAAATACAATAAATAAGATCATACTAAATATGCAAAAATATGCATAAAGCTCAATATATGCAAAAACATACAAAATAAAAATAGTACCATTTTCATCAGAATAATATAAATTATGGACGTTATTCACTAAAACTCCATTTGGACATAGCGAAAAAAAAATGCTGTTGCATACAAATATAACCCTGATCATAAATTATATTTTAAATAATTTAGTAAATAAATCTTACTTAAAATAGAATCGAACAACTTTCATTTAACGTTTAAACAGTACATATTAATAATTATATAAACTACCAACCACTCAATTCAACTGATGATCGAACGTGAAACTAATTAAGATGACTGTGAATTATTTATTATTTAAAATCTCTGATTTCTCCCTATAAACAAAAATACTTATTCATAAATTTTATTATAAACATAACATACCTTTCTTGTTGTAATATATTATTCATTTTAATCCTAATAGTATTAAATATGAACAAAACGTCAATATATATTCTATATTATTAACTAATATTAAGAATATGATAAATTTCTATCTATATAAATGCTAAATCATAATTTTTATAAAAATTAATTACAGTGTACATATTCGTGTGCATGTACCAACCATTGTGAAAGAAGTTTATGTAAAAAAACCAGTTCATCACTATGAATCCCATGATGAACATTATGATCATGGTAGCTCATCCGGTGGTTATGGAGGATCATCTAGTGGCTATGGAGGATCATCCGGTAGTCACGGAGGATCATCCAGTGGTTATGGAGGATCCTCAAGTAGCTATATTGGTGGTGGAGGAGATGACTCGTATGATGGTAAGATCATTATTATAATCACATATTTTAAATTACGACTTCACATACATTTATTTTATAACCATCCTCCTTATCTCGATTTAGATTTGATAATAGGTTCATATATAAAACTAAATACTTATACCATGTGAATAATATGAGTAAAAATATGAATTTAGGTCATGGAAGTTCTGGCATTTACGATTCTGGATCAAGTGGGCATGGTGGTAGCAGCTATGATGACAGTTCATCAGGCAGTTACAGCAGTGGACCATCTTCATTGGATGAGTATGATTCCAGTGACCATGGTTCTTCAGGATACAGCGGATCTTCCGGTGGTCATGGTGGTTCTTCGGGCGGCTATGTTAGCTCACCAATAAGTTACAGTAGTTCTTCGGGAAGCCATGGTGGTTCGTCAGGAAAATATGGTGGCTCTTCTGGAAGTTACGGAGGCTCTTCCGGAGGTTATGGTGGTTCTTCAAGTGGCATTCTATTTAGCGGGTATTCTGCTGGACACCACAAAGGATCATCTGGTGGATATGGTGGAAGTTCTTCTGGAGGATATGGAGGCGGCTCATTCGGTGGGGGACATGGTGGAAGCTCATCTGGAGGATACGGGGGTAGCTCATTCAGTGGAGGACACAGAGGAAGTTCATCTGGAGGATACGGAGGCAGTTCATCAGGAGGATATGGTGGCAGCTCATTCGGTGGAGCACACGGTGGAAGCTCATCTGGAGGATACGGAGGTGGCTCATCTGGAGGATACGGAGGTAGCTCAATCAGTGGAGGACACGGAGGCAGTTCTGGAGGATACGGAGGCAGTTCATCAGGAGGATATGGTGGCAGCTCATTCAGTGGAGCACACGGTGGAAGCTCATCTGGAGGATACGGTGGTGGCTCATCAGGAGGATATGGTGGCAGCTCATTTGGTGGAGGACATGGAGGAAGTTCGTTTGGAGGGCTTGGGGGAGGTTCATCTGGAGGATACGGAGGAAGTTCATTTGGAGGACACGGGGGTGGTTCATCAGGAGGATATGGTGGAGGTTCATCTGGAGGATATGGAGGTAGTTCATTTGGAGGACTTGGAGGTAGTTCATTTGGAGGACACGGAGGAAGTTCATCTGGAGGATACGGAGGAAGTTTCAGTTTCGATGATTTATCTGGTAGTGGACATGGTTCTAGTTCTGGTGGTTTTGGTGGTTACGCAGGTGGTAGTGGTGGAGACACTTATTCAGCCCCGGGACAAGATAGCTATGGACCTCCAGGAAGCAGTTTCCCTTATACTAAAAAATAAGCCATTGCGAAATTTCAAAACAAATAGGTTATTTTATAATACGAATTTATGTTTAAAATGTTTAATTTTGTTTTATTGTTACATACGTTATTAGCTATTAATTTGTATCTAATGCGGAAACAATATTTAAAGTTTCCCTGTTCTAAGACTGAATATTCTGTTTTTATTAATAATTAAAATAAATACCATTTATTAAATAGAAAAAAGATGCATTTTTATTTATAATTTAAAATTAAAGCTACATATCTGAAAAATAAAACTTGAAATACATTTAATTTTATAAATACTGGAATGTTTGAACAATTCAATACATTGATAGATAATAGCTTTAAGTTTATTGAAATATTTACTATTCACTATACACATAAAAAAAAAGTCATATAATTAATTTGGTACAATTTTGTACATTAAGAATACATTTATTAAATTATTAAAATAATAATTATTTTATTTACTTAGCAACGAAAATATTTATTCGTATTAGTTACCCGTAATGTTACTATTTTTATTTTAGTAACATCATATATTTTATTCTAAAATGCAATAAAAGGAGATAGATTAACTTATAAGATAGTAAAAATTGTTATATTTAAAAATAATTTAAATTCATATTTAAATTAATTATTTTATTCATGCCAATTTCTTATAAAAATGAAATCTTTGCATTTCACTTGCTGGACATATTTTGTTTCAAATGTAAAAAATTATAAATAATCGATAGTATATCCTATAAAGCAGGGTTGGGCAACTGGCGGTCCACGGGACGTATACGGCCTGCGAGTATTTTTTTATTTGGCCCGTACTATATTTTAAAATTATATCAAACAATTTTAAATTTTATCGTCTATACTTTAACTAATTGATATAATAATTGTTATCTAGTATTAAACATCGTTAAATGTCTAAATATCATATTTATGTATACGCATAGCTTTCAACCATAGCTGTTTGTACCGCACTGTATTAGTTTCTTCGTATCATTCGTGTCGTGCTATCGTATGTGTTGAATTTATTATTTCCATGTATATAAATGCTAATCAAAATTCATATTTTAATTGACCTTACTTTTTTTTTTCTACGCTCTTGCCCGCTAGATTTTAATTTCCTAAAAAGTGGCCCTCTAATAACTTTGAGTTCCCCATCCCTGCTATAAAGTATATTTTTTCAGTAATAAGTAATAAAAAGGTCAATCTATATAATAAATAATATATATAATATATATACTATAAATATTATATAAAATTCAAAAATCACTCACTTCTCACTACATCTCAAAATTGATAAAATTTTTACATTTAAAACTAGAAATAATTGTTCCTCTAATACTTAAATTTTTAAAAAGAAGAGATTTAAAAAAAATGTGTGTTAACCTATTAATTTTTAGTATTTTTCGTAATAGCAAATTTCATCTTAAATTCGTAACTTTTAACTTATCATGATCGCCGCAGCACTTAATGCCGATTTTAGACTTAATTTATTGTTTTCAGCTAAAATATCGAATATCTTTTTGTGTCACACACAAGATAAAATTATTATAATGTATTGGACCTATCGATTTTTTTATCCGCGAGAACTTGGGTTCAAATACAACAATAATGATATGCATACTTATGCAGTCAGTTATACTTTAATTTGACGAAGATAAATACCAGTACATAATGTCGAATACGTCATAATTTAATTTAAACTAATACATCTCATACTCTTTTCTCCTTAAAATTATTTTTATCGATAATAATTCGTGTGTGTAAGTTTCCTCAAAAATTTAGCTTTTAAATAACAACAGTTATACACCATCGACAGTATTGTAGTAATAGGTTTTTACTATAACTATTACAAATGGTAACAACTATATTTTTTACTGTGGTATCCCCGTAAAGACCTAAATCACATACAGCGTCTATGTATTGCGTATGTAATTCGTCTTACAAAGATTAACAATCAACAATAATTATAATTTATGTGTAGTTAAAATGAATATTAAATTATATGCTATAAAATGTTTGTTAAAAATGTATTTCTAACGAACATTTAATTTTAATTCTGCTAAAAACTATATTTTACAAACTGTTTAGTTTAATATAGCACCAAAAAAAAAAATTATTTTTTACGTTTATTTAAAAAATATTTATAATAATCAATAATTATCATTTAGATTAGCCAAAAAAAAAAAAATTTAAAATAAGTTCATAATTATGAAAAAAAATAAATAAATAAAAAACTATCGATTCTGTCTTGAGTAGCTAGTCGAAATAAAATTACTTAAATAAAATTTAAAATTAAGTTTTATAATGATTAGATGCAGCTATGAAGAATCGCATCATAGTAATATTGTTTTCCTTGAATGACAAACTTATGGTGTTTATATATTGTTGGCGTGTTTTTGATCGAGAATTTGTGAGTTTATTAAGTTTATCAAATCTATTTAATTTAATGTAAATTTACATATTTAATGTACGTTTGAATTACTAATAGAGTTTTTGAAAAGTGGTGTATATTTAGATGTGTGTTATTAAAGAATTAAGCTAGATGTGGTGGATTTTGCCATCAGTGGAGTTTACGTGTTTTTAAATCGATAAAACATAGCGATGGATAACACATTTTTTTTTTAGGTGAAAAAAAGTGATTTACACGTTTTTCAGGTAAAGAAATGTATTGGTGGAATTCACACAAAAAAAGGTAGAAAAAGTGAAAAGTGAAGTTTACATGTGCTCATAGTCTCTTTAGAGACGAAAGTTTTTCATGAGTACCAATAAAGTACCTGAACTCCGTCTTATCGTGATATGATCAGCTTCATGCTAATGCTCATAATATTAATAACCGAACTAAATTAACCTATCTTTATGTATAGTATTAAGATTTAGATTCCAAACCCATAAACACTCTTAAGCATCCAAAATTCTTATTTTTATCTTGGTCATCACTGTTCTGTGCAAATCCGGTATCTGAAACTTCTTCGTTAGTCATTAAATTTCAATAATCTGTCTTTTGACTACTGCTTTTAGTATTAACTAAAATTCTTACCGTCATGAAGTAATTAATAGCTTAAATATTTTAAAAGAATACAGAGAGATCATGAATCACTATTTAAATAAAATTTAAACACATTTATTTAAATGTTGATTTTTTGATTTTATACAATGCAGTGATTATCGACTATAATATAATAGCATTTTATTTTAGATATATTTAATTTAAACAGTTTTTTGCTTATGTCTCAAATATTGAGTTACTTGAATTGAGTAAATTAAATTGAAAGAGCACAATTTATAATATTAGTTTTTAGGTTTTACTGAAACTAATTCTAGTTAAGTCTTATTAGTGATAAAATTAGAATCAAATCGTGAGAGTAACAGCTATAGATAACTGGTAGATAGCTACTAATTAATATAAGCTTATGGGAAAAATAAATGCAATTTATTGCAAGAAAATCTAGATAGTTTAAAAACCATGCGTCACTGGAAAAATGATAAGTGAATAACTGAAAATATTTTTGCTTTAAACCATTTGCTCAAGTATATACACTCATTTTCCTTTTAGTGAAAACTAGGCCAAAATAAATTGATAAACAAGCATACAATATACATAATATTACATATAATTAAGTGCATAATTATATTATTTTTTAATCTATATACTTTTAATTTGTTCAATTGAACTATTCACAGGATCAAGATGTTTTATTGAGTAAAGGATTGAATAAAAGTATTTTTTATTATTTTACTCAATTCATTATACTTATCACTCTTCGCATAGTTTGATGAAATAGTGCATAAACACTGAGTATGTTGTAAAAATAAGTATATATTAAATTGTATATCTGGTAAAACATAATTATCATTGCATTGGTAATAGTGTAATTATTATATATTATATAATTTTTTAAGTCCTATAAGACTTTTATACCTATAAGTATATATCAAATTATAAAATAAAAAAAAAAATTGTTTTATGATGAGTACTCGTAAATATTTGCAAATATTATACAATAATACTCTAGACGAAAACTTTTGTTTTTTGTATTTTATAATTAATATTTTTTTTTTTTAATCTATAAACACTTTTTCAGTTTATATAACTGAATCAAAAATTTTACATAATATTTCTTTAGATCGAAAATCGGATAAAAGAAATGAAAAATAAGTGTTTTCTATTTTTAAAGTATTTTTCAATAGGTATAATAAGAATTGAAGCTAAAATGTCATGCAGCAAAGATTTTAGATTAGGAATTGGTATTCTAAAGAGGTAACTCTTTGATTCCCTCAGTAACAAAGAAAGAAATAATGTTGTCAAAAACATAGGTACAATGCTATAATTTATTAGGTAGAATATAATTTACAATAGGTTACAATAATGTTTTGTATTTAATTATATATCATTTTAATTTATGTAATTAGGCATAAGAATGTAATATTTCGTTAATTATAACTCATTTTACATAGTTTCACTATAAATAAATTAGGCTACCTGTCGGTAATTTTTTTTATAAACTATTGACATTTTACATACTGCATGAACAGTGATAATTAATTTTTTTTTTAATCTTTTAAGTATGTTAAGTTTTTATATAAAGTTTTTAGTTGATTTTAGATTTTAAGGCGCGTGATTTTCTTATTACGTAATAAACTAGAGTTTATATATAACTATATAATTACTTCAATCGTATCAATAATTATACATGGGTGTACTAACTTTCGCAATTGTTTTTAGAATGCAATAATTTATCGTTGCTTTCAAATGTATATTACGCTTCTATTACAAAGAAGGAGCGATTAGTGTTTTAGTGTTTATAGAATTTTTACCTAACATAAATATATTATAACATAAATTCAACCTAGATACATTTTCTCCAAACCAGTAGATGTCGGGAAGACAAAATGTCCAATGTTACAGAAATGCTTCGCTTCAATCAACTTTTTCATTAAAGCAAAAGAACAGAGACGTACTTATGTCGTTTAACACAAGGTAATAGGACTTTAGGTATTTACTTATCACTAAGACCTATGTATAAAAGTTAATAAGAACTTAGTCAATGACCTTGAACATGGAATCGAATTGTTA